TTGTTCTGTGTCTTCTTGATTTGTTCATCTCTTTTTGTATATTTGCTCACCCAGTAGCTGGTTATATGTCACTTGGATATATTCTCAGCTTCCTACCTCCAGGCTTCTCACTTCCAGCCATGTCTACCTGCTCTGAGTATAGATGTTCAATTTCTTTTCAGTCTACCATAAATACTCTAAGAAGTGAAAGAAGTTCAATCCTTTACTCCGACTTTCCTTCAGTATGTGTTTGAAAGTATGCGAATTTACCATAGGTTAGTCCTGATTTTTTGTTTCTTTGTTTGTTCTTAGTTTTTGACTTTTACATCAGTTTTACCATATATACATTTTGGAACACCAAACAGTTATATAATGTAAACTTTTACTAAAAGTAGGAGACTCCCACCTTCATTCTCTTATTTTCTCAGGGGTGACCACTTATACCTTGTTTGGCTACTTATTTTGTAGTTTCCCATTCATGTCTCTAAATAACATGCTTATATTCTTTTATCTTGACATTTTCAGTTTCAGACATAGTTTGTTAAATTCATATGCTTTTATTCCATTTCCATGCCTGTGCACTTGCCTGCCAAAATGAGTTCCCTACTCATTCCCCTAGTGTTGATATTCCCTAACACTGATTAGAGAATAGGCCTCATGAACAGTGTTAAATCTGTGACTGTGTTATCCACACTTGAACCGTGGTGCAGACAGTGTATAACTTTCTTTTCCTGCACAGCTTTTGTTTTCTGTTGAGGTAATTATTGTATTGCTTAATTTTCTGACTTTTCTGTTATCACCTATAAGCTCTGTGCTCTGCTAGTAACTAAATGTCCTCTCAGTGTGTTCAGAATCGTCAGAACTTACATCACTTCATCTTCTGGAAAAACTCTCTCCCAGTTCCTTCCAACTTACTTGGTGCTCATTCTCATCCTGGGATCTCCTATCACCTTGTTCCTAGGGAACTCCTTCACCTCATTGCTGTGTGCAGTCTCCTGCATCCTGTCCTCTATCTATCTCTTGTGTCCTTCTCTGGCTGACACTCACCTTTTGGTAGAGAGTCTGTTATCCTATAGCTTCCAGAGAAAAGGTACAGAGGAGGTTTTTTTTGAGATCTACAGATATGAAAATCTTTATCTACCTTACATCTAATGTATAGTTTAACTAATGAGAATTCTGGATTGGAAATAATTTACTTCAGAATTTAGAAGTCATCATCTTCTTCGCTTAAATTTCAAGTGTTACTATAGAAAATTCTGAAGCCATTAGGGTTTCTCATTTCTCTATCCCTGGAAGTTTTTAGAATCTTTCCTCTTCACTAGTATTCTAAAATTTTCTGATGAAGTATTGAGGTGTCTATCTGTTTTATCCATTGAGCTGGGGTCTCTTGGGGGTTCAGTCTATCTGTAAACTTACATGGTTTGAATTACTTGATTGACATTCCTTCCATTTTATGTGCTCTGTATGTTTGGAACTCCTATTAAGTTTTCTTCCTCCTACATAATCTCTCTTTCCTGTCTTTTCTCTATTTTAGTTTCCATTTTCTGATTAGGGGGTTTTCTTGGGTGTTGATAATCTTGGTTATCTGTTCCATCTAGATTGGGAGACTTCAAGCAGATTAGCAGCCCTGAGCACATGAGTGGAGCTTGTCTGCTAAAAGCTCTACTGCGCAAAGAGACTGACAGGGGTTATTTTGTGAACTTGTCAGATTTCCTAGATAAGAGTCTTCTTGTCTCTTACCTGGAAATGAAAACCCAACTGCCAAGTGTTGTGTAGCAAAGTCAGTGAAGAGAGCTGGGGTCTCGGTTTAGTTTGCACCATTTCACTTAATCCTTCATGTTTTTAGTAGAATACCCTTACCCTCAAATGTGCCTAGTCTCTGTCAGTCCAGAATACTACTTATTTATCCTCTCTTGAGACTAAACATCCAGGTTTTTGCAAGGGCTGAGAGGAGGAGAGGTTTGGCTGCACAGAAATCTGTGGGTGGTGGGCAGAATCTGGGAGTCAGATTGCTTCTTAGAGGCTTTTCAAATGATCCTCCATGACCCTCACTTCCAGGGGTATCTGGTACTAAACTTCCTCAACCTTGGGCAGTTCAGTGGATAGAATGGGGTAGTTTCAGCTTTTCCCACTTACCACATAGAATTCAGGATTCTGGAACCTAGTACACTTGCCACTCACTGATCTGTCTTCTAGTTACTAGGCATTTGCTGTGTGTATGTTTGTATGTGTGTAATCCCATTTTTTGTCATTTTAATGGGATTTCAAAAGGGAAAGATGCATCTGTGCACATAAGTTTTCTGAGAAATTTTACTTGCCCTCTCCCCAATTGTTACCTATTGTAGGTGGTTAGTACTTTTCAGTGTGATCAATTTGGTTTTCCTCAAATCACTAATACATCAATAAGATTGTATATGAGAGTGATTTTCCTACAAATGGTGAGGATTATATTTGTAGACAAATCCAAAGTCTCATAGGTATCTATAATGATAATACCCCAGATATATTTATTATCCTATAATACTCCCCTACCTTTTTCCCCCTTTATCTTCATAGTTACACTCAGCGTGATCCTTATCATGGACCCCTGGCTCTGGGCATTTAACATCTAATCCATTGGCTAAATAGGTACCTGCCTGGTCCGCAGCAGTAGCCTACATGAAATGTTTAAGATGGAATTGTTAGCCCTGGTGGTTAGGCTGTGAGTGCCCCCACTGTGCAAGGTCCCCCAATCATATTACCAAGCATAGTCCAGTCAGAAAATGTAAGAGGGTGATTATTCTGTACTGTATTTCAAGTGAAATTGTAGAGTTTAAGTTTAATTTTAATAATGATATGATAAAGCTTGAATCATTTTGAAAATTTACTGATAAAAGTTATAAATTTTAATTATATCTAATATTTATAAAGCAAATGAGAAACATCTGGATTTTCAAGTTAGAATTTATGGACCCTTTGAAAGTGCAATAAAAATTTTTGCTTCTATCCACATGAAGTCTTACCACCAAAAGTCGAACCTGTATCTAGTCAAGCTTTTCTTTTGAGCTAAAACATCCAGGAAATACAAAGGAGAAAAGATAAGTTAGACATCAACATGAGGAAGCAAACAGACAAATCTCGAATTTGGAGCATTCTGTAAGATGCTTGATTGGTTTAGTCAAAAGTCCAATAACATGAGGGGCCCAACAGCAATAACACAATAGTTTTAATAGTCATGGGGAGAGGGAGTTGGTGCTCTAGATGTAGGAGATATGACATGTAGCTATGATGTGAGGATTTCTTTTTAATTTAATTTTAAAGATGCAGGATACAATTCAGGATTAGGTATACAAGTGGACATAGTACAGGTAAAGGTTGGGTGGGCCTCCACTTTGCCTAGTTTGAGCTCAGATTCCCCTATTGATGTTGTGTCCCCCCTACTCTTCCCCAGCAGTATCCCTCTACTGCCAATCCCTTTCTTATAGTATTATGGTAAATGTTCAGGGTCCGCTTATGAGTGAGAACATGCGGTACTCAGTTCTTAGTATCTGTGATATACTAAGCATACTCAGTATAGTAACACCGAGTATTACTGACTCTAAATCCATCCAAGTGGCTGCGAAGTCCAAATGTTTGTCTTTCTTTATGGCTGCGTAATATTCCATTGTGTATATGTATTACATTTTTTTAAATCCAGTCCGGTTTCAATGGGCAGAAAAGTTGGTTCCATGTTTTCGCTATTGTGAATAGCACTGCAATAAACATGGATGTGCAGGTATCTTTTTTGTAGAATGCTTTGAGTTACTCTGGGTATATTTGTAGAATGCTTTGAGTTACTCTGGGTATATTCCAATTAGGGGAATTGCCAGGTCATAATGGAAGGTCATTTTCTCATTCTTTTAGGAATTGTTTTCCACTGTTTTCCACAGAGGTTGAACTAGTTTGCATTCCCACCAGCAGTGTAGAAGTGTTCCCTTTTCTCTGCATCCTCATCAGCATCTGTTGTTGTTTATTTTATTAATGATGACCGTTCTTACTGGGGTTAGGTGCTATTTCCATGTGGTTTTGATTTGCATTTCTGTGATGGTTAGTGAGTCTGAGTACTTTTTCATGTGTCTGTTGGCTGCCCGTATATCTTCTTTTGAGAAGTGTCTATTCATGTCTTTGCCCACTTTTTACTGGGCTGTTTGTTTTTTTCCTTTTGGCATGTTTGAGTTCCTTGTAGATCATGGATGTTAGGCCTTTGTCAGATATACAGTTGGCAAATATTTTTTTCCTGTTCTGTGGGCTGTCTCCCTGCTCTCTTGATGGTTTCTTTTGTTTTGCAGAAACTTTCAGTTTAACGAGGACCCACTTGTCTATCTTACCTCTTATGGCATGAACACCTGAGATTTTGATCAGGAATTGGTTGCCTTCTTTGATTTCTTTAAGGGTGTCTCCTGCATTTTCTAAGATTCTTATAGTTTGAGGTTTTATATTTAGATCTTTGATCCATTTAGAGTTGATTTTTGTGTATGGCGATAGGTAGGGGTCTTGTTTCAATCTTCTGCATGTGGTCAGCCAGTTTTCCCAGCACCATTTACTGTATATTTTCTCCTCTCCCCTGTGGCTGTTGGTGAAGGCTTTGTTGAAGATGAGTTGGTTGAGAAATTGAGGTTTTGCTTCCAGAATCTCTAAGCGAACTGCTTTAATTAGTTGCACATGTGCGTGCAAACACACACACACACACACACACACACACACACACACACACACACACAATGCCCTGGTGAATTTTAGTGAGTACATAAAGCTTTTTTTTTTTTCTGTAGATGATAAGTGAGTCTTTAAGAATGATTGCTGTTCTTGCCTATATTATAAAATTCTTACAGAGTCTAATTTCAGAGCATTCTCAAATATTGATGATTTGTCAAATTTCAGTGATTTTCACATGATAACTGAAACCTAGCAGTATCTTTTAAATAGGAAATATCTTTTATTCACAATAGTTTTGCTACAGATTAAATTTTTCTTCAAGGTAGTTTGATCTGTATTCTCTGCAGTGCTATGAAGGAAAATCCTCCAAAGATCTTCTGAAAGGAGTTGCTGCAAATGCATTGATGTCACTTCTGGCTGTCAGTAGAAGAGCACAGAAACATGCTTTGAAAGGTGAGCCACTTGGCACGTTAACTGGTTTTATGGCATATTGCCAATTCAGATATTTTGCTGCTTGTTCATTTTAATTTTCTTTGACTTCAAAATGTAAAGAAATTATGGTATAATCTCTTGAAAAAATATTTTTTCATACAGAAATACAGTAAATATGCATTACTTTTTAAAATAAAAAGAGTATGCCTGTAGATTATTTCTTGTTTAATGTATAATGACTCTTACTGTAGAGAATCTATATCTAAATATTAGATCAGCTAAAAGAAGTAACACACTACTCAGTTTCGTGATAATGAAATATTAGTACCCACAAGCACATACTGCATACCTGAAAAAAAAATATATATAGTTTTGTTACAAAAACAAGAGCATCAGATGATCCTGTATTTTCATATTTTCCCCTGAGAGTGCTGCAATTTCTCATCTGGGCATCAGGGAACACAAGTCTGAGAGTTGAAAGAAAATAACAACAACATCAAGTTCATTAGTTTCAATTGCTATTTGCTACTAAAACAAATTATGCATGCCTCAAGTCATAAATTAGATTTGGGGTGTATCTTACTATGAACTGAAAACAAATGAACTTCAGCATTGGCATTGTAGTTTCTTACTTTTCCCCACCTCTGATTCATTAATCTCTCACTGAAAATACTGACATGAAGTGGGTCAGAAACACAAAATGTTATTTTTTTGAGAATCTGATGTTGTATGTGGTTTTTATTTATTTGAAAATAGAATATTCCTTTGACTGCTACAGATTTTGTCTTTCAGCCGGTCTCATAGACAACTGCGTGGAGCAGATGAAGCACATTAATGCACAACTGAACCTGGACACTCTGAGGCCTGGGAAAGCAGCATTGAGAAAAAAGGTAGAATTCTGAGATGAGGGAAATGTTGTGCATAAGAGACCATCTCTCCAGTTCCCTGTGCCTGTAAATAAACACAAGGTTCAAATGAGTATCTGATTTAGAAGAAAGGTACAGTTAGATAAGTTATTGAAATTTTTACATTAGCAGGTTGCTGGGAGTTTTTGGTCTTAATTCTCACTTGAAGATCTTTAGCTGACATTTATATATTATGTGTTTTTGTTATTGTAAACATTTTGAAATATCCACATGTCCATGCTATTATACAAGATAAATTTTTTACCCTAAAAAAAAAAGAAAATCTTTCTCTCAAAACTAGCATAGGATGACTAGAAATGAGACCTATAACAACTATAATTTATCAAGTGTTTTCTGTATGTCAGGCACTTTGCAAACATTGTATATATATTATCTCATGAATAGACACCCATGACAGCACAGTCACACAGCTGGTAATTGATGAAGCTAGTATTTGCCCCTGTATCTGGGTGGTTGCAGAGCTGGTATTCCTAATCTCTGTTTATCTCTTTCCATGACTTCTGAATATCTCTTCTAGCACTGAGTCTGCTGGACTCATGTTTAAACTTATGTTCATGTAAACTCAAAATAATATAGTTATTATGTAATAGATATAGTTAATAATATCTATGGTTAATAAGATGTCACCCACTTATTCAGCAAATGAATGTGTGTGGGTATGTGTAAATATATAAGTATTGTTTATAACCCCTCTCTCTGTGTAGGTAAGGCCATTATAGCAGCATTCTATGTAGTAACTAGTTCCTGTTGCATTTAATAGGAAACTGAGCCAAAGCCTTATTTAATAATTTAATTGATGTTCATCAGGTTTTTTTTTTTTTGCCTTTTTTCCTTTTTTCTCTCTAGTCAAAGGCCCTTACTTCATCATTGAGAAAGTCAGCCAACACCTAATATGACTGAAAACCTGTCAGTACCTGCCTCACTTTATTGAGATGAAGCATGGAGGCTATCATATATCCGAGTTCTTCCATGCTTGATAGAACAGAAATAGCTTTTTCGAGGTGGATACGCTTCTTGAGCTATGGTCATCTTTCAGAGATCATTAGCTTGACAGTCCCCTCAAAGTTATGGTGTTCAGGCATGATTAGGACACAGATGCACTGTACTGTGACCCAAAGGGGGAGGGAATTACTATATATAAAAAGTGGGATATGCTGTTGCATTCACATTTTTCAACTGCTTTCTATTTAAACAGGAGGATGGTGTTATTAAAGAGTTAAGCATAGCCATGCAGCTCCTAAGAAACTGTCTCTATCAAAATGAAGACTGTAAAGTAAGTAGAGCTACTTTTCAAAATTTGATAGTAGTGCCGGTATTAAACAGTTTAGTTTTTATATGAGGCAATATAGTAGGAAAAATGGAAAACTCTTTGAATTTTAATTTTTTAGATGCACAGTTGATTGATCCTTAAACTCGATGTTAGTTCTTGGAAGTGAATGTATCTAATCTTGTTATTTATCAACACTGATTACATTTCTTGTTTATATCAGTGTTTTTACTTCAACTTTGTCATTGAAACTTTAACTTCACCAACTTCAGCCTCATTCTGTACTGTTATGCATTTTAGATGTTTCTCTACTAGAATGGATGAATGGCCGGGCATGTCTTATTGTGAATTTTTTTCAAAGAGGGTTGTCAGAACAACTCTCCAATGGAGTAAGTGGAGGTATCTATTCCTATTAGAAAGGATGAATGTGTTTCCTGCTTCAGAATAGAAAATACAGCTGCTGCCTATTGTGGCCATATATACATCTCAAGCAAGTTCCTTCCTTCTGGTTTTGCTGGCTCCCTGTGACTGTTTGCATAGCTCCTCTGTCTGAAAATCATTGAGATAGTTTGCTTTTTCTGTAAGCATTAATGCTGTCATTTTAAACCATTGTATTAATACTATTAAAGAGGATATTATCTTTTGAACATTTTGATTTGCTTTGCCTATAGTGATACAACACTTTTGAAATAGTTTTGTCTTAATACAGAAATACTATGGAAAAATCTGTAATGCAGACATAAATTTTAGAAGCTTGCTTTCTTCTTAAACTTTTACTTTTCTTGCTCTTGTGGTAGAACTGGAAAAAATATATTACATACATCTGGAAAATGAACATGTATTTCTTAAGCCATATTAGATAAAAAGATACATGACTAATAATTTATATTTCAAAACAGTTTGCTGGGAATTAAGTATTTATTTATATATTTCATTAAAATTCCTGGTATATGAACTGATATAAACTTTTTCTCAAAATAGAGATGTCATTTACTAAATTTATGATTCCATCATGCTAAATATTATCCTTGTGACTAGGTGTGCCATTGATCTTTATGTGTATATGTAAGTATATAAATTTCATATGTGTGTGCAGTGAATATTCATCCATAGTACCTTGTTCAGAGAGTACTCTGGAACACTTTAAAGCTATGATCTACTTATAAAGATTAATGAAATGCTCGTTGGGAACATAGTGCTCAATTTGTATCATATTAGCCATTTATAAAAGTGTAATCTCTCAATAAGTCAAACCATTTCTGCATTTCTAAGTTGCTTAATAAGGAGTAAATCCAAAGAAGAATATTTAGGTTACTCTTGAGTATAAATATAGCCTCTGGAGGCAGAGATTCCTAATTTCTATTCCAGCTTGCCTGAGGTGTATGGCATGTTCCCGTCACTATTGTAGTAATTCATCAGGTCGCCCACCACTGCCCCACCCTGGTGTTTACATACATATAACTTTAAAGGAAGGATCCTGGTGGCTGTGAGGTAAATGGATTAAACAACAGACAAGGTTAGAGGGAGGGGACTGTCATAGTCCAGACAAGAGATGATGAGACCTTAACTTGGGCAGGTAGAAATGAGAAGAAGAATAAATTTGAAGTAATGAGGAGAAAGAAGAGAAATGAATATTTCCAGGCTCCAGTTTTCAGCCACTTAGCTATGCAAGAGTATTTCTCCAGGAGTGAGAAATCCCATATTCACGTTGGCACATGCTAGTGTCAAGTGTCTTTGGGACATCCAGGTGGAAAAGGGCTTATCCTCAGTAGTTTATATGGATCTGGGACTCTGAGGAGCTGTACAGGCTGGGATATTAGGAGTTATCAGTGTATAGTGGTGTTTGTAGCCATAACTGTAGTTGAAATTTCCCAAGAGAATATATTGAAAGCCTAGGTCTTGTCTTTGGAAAATATGAACATTGAAGAGAGGGTAGAAGATAACTAAAAGGGGAATGCTGGAGAAAGAATTTGGAGACAATCCAGGATAGAGCAGCACTGTGGAAATGAAGAAAAAGGAGGCCAACTGTGCTCATATCTGTAATCCCAGCAGTTTGGGAGGCCAAATTCAGGAGTTCAAGACCAGCCTGGGCAACATAGCAAGGGACCCTATCTCTTAAGAAAAAGAAAAAGTAGCAAAGAAAAAAAAGACCTGCAGCAAATGCCACAGTGCCTGAGGGATGGCAACTACAAAAGTAGGAGTAGCCTCAATAGAATCATTAGGGCAGAAAATAAATTGAAATGAGTTGAAGATTAAATGTGAAATGGGGAGATGACAGCCATAAGGAAGCTTAGTCATGACATATGGGATTAAAAGAGGTTAGTATGCTTTTTCTCCTAACATATAAACTGCTTCAGTATAAATGGAGAAATGAACAAATTGGGTACTAGTTATTAAAGAAATAGGAAGAAAGAACTACTCAGTGGATAAAGATCCCTGAGGTGGCAAGAGGGGCTGTTTCAGAACAGATGGATGCATCAATCTCTAACAAAAAGAGCAACATCTGATCCTCACTGCGACTGACAGGAAAGATGGACAAATAAAAATACAGGTAAACTGTGTGGATGGAATGGCTGAATAGATAAAGGAGTTTATATCTACTGGTTTCTGTCTTCTCTGTGAAATAGTAAGCAAGGTCAACTGCTGCAGATGTGGGGCTGTGCCAAGCTTGCAGAGAGTGGCACACCTGGGGAAGAATGTTGAGAATGGCCACAAGGCTTATGGAGAGTGATGACCATTGGGAATAACTTTCGATCCTATTTTGCCACTTAATGCTACATAAAATTGTATATTTATGTGCATGCATACACATGTACACATGGATCTTCAAATTACCTAGTAATTCCTGCTCATTTAAGAAAGATATTGCCATACTAACTGCAAACAGCCATATTTTATCTATAATATCATCCCATTGGTAACTGATCTTTGTAATAAAAGACTATGAGTTATTCAAGAATTTATTGATTTAGCATAATCTTTAGACTGAATTTTGCAATACTCAAATTACTTAAAACCAATAATTTACTTCTACATACATATACACACACACACATACACACACACACACACACACACACACACACACACGGCATGGAGGGAGGGAGGGAGAGACAGGGCAGGGAAGAGGGACCCAGAATTAATCAGAAGAATGTTTACTTAACTAGAAATTCTCATTTCTTGACCATATCATAGCATTATAAGAGTTAATTCAATGTGAGATGTCACTTTCCTGCTAAATTTACATATTACAGAAGCTGTTTTATGTGTTTCTAACCTAAGTAGAATATTTAACTGCCCTGGTGTTGAATGGACTTTTTGAGTCTGGTAGGGCTCGTGGTCAGGATGGCCACGTGGGGAACCCTGTGGCCTGCAGTGAAGTGTAGGATCCATCCTCAGGATTCTGATGCCCTCTCATACTAATTAGAACAAAGATAAATTCAATTTTTGTTTTATGTTAGTGACAATTTTTTTGGTTTTGATTTTAGTTATATATTTTTATATGTTCAGACTAATGCTATCTTTATTTCCTTCCCATGACAGAAAGCTACTCTGAGAGCTCATCTTGTCCCTGTCTTACACTCTCTCTGGCCTTGGCTTTTGATGGATGACTCACTGATGCAAATTGCCCTGCAGCTACTTTGTGTTTATACTGCAAATTTTCCAAATGGTAAACAGAATCCAATATTGCCTTTCAATATTGTACTAAAAGATAATTTTTATAAATGTTGTTAAGGTGGACTGGTAAAACCAACACATTTTTGAAATGTTTCTCTTATTTATTGAGGATATGTTGGTCAAAGGTGGGGTTTCTTTTAGCTGTTATAAGAGCAGACAGATATTTTAGCATATGTTTGTTGATACGGGAGTCATTAGACCAGCACAGAGAATAGAGGAGAAACTGGCCTGATTATGTGGAATGGGAAATTGAGTTTAATAGGAAAATTGGGAGAGTGAAAATTGTGATGTAAGACCTTAAAAGCCAGGAAAGTTAAAACTTTTTATAAATTCTCGAACAGAAGCCTGGCACGATGAAAGTTAGTTCTCAGAGCAGTTTATCTGGTGATAGTTGATAGATATCACTGGGCTTCCTCTTTCATTCATTCACCTGGTAGACATTGAGAGCCTACTTTGGGTCATGCATTAGTGAGAGTGACCTGAAATATGAGAAGAGGACAGATCGCATAGGGCCTCAGGTCAGATTAAGGAGTTTGGATTTTTATTCAAGTGTAACAGGGTGCCACTGGATGTCTTAAGTTGGAGAACGGCATGATCCAATTTGTGTTTGAGAAAGATCACTCTGGGTGGGGTGTGGAGAATGAATGGGGCATGTCTAGAAGCAAGGATTTGGAGACGACATAATAGCAGCTTGGGCTTAGTGGTGGTCAGAGAGATTGAGAGAAGTAGACACATTTGGCAAATGGCCCAAAAATAGGGTCAAGAAAACTTGCTGATGCAAAGTAGCAAGGCAAGAAAGGTATCCAGTATGAACCCCATTTGGAAACATGAGCCTGAGTACATAGTGGTACCATTTGCTAAAATGGGAAAGGTTTGGGAGAAGCAGATTTGACCTGGAAAAGAAGTAGAAAGCCAGAGTTCTGTTTGACCATGTGAAGTTTGAGGTGTCTATGTCCATCCAAGTGAAAATACTAAATTGGAGTTGAATTTAGAGGAGAGGCGATATAAGATTGAAGATTTAAAATGTTTTAGTTTCATTCATTATCTCTTGCTGCTTAACAAATTACCCCAAAACTTAGCATTTGTAAACATCAGTCATCCAGTTATCTCAGTTTCTGTGGGTCAGAAATCTGGGAGTGACTTAGCTGGGTAGTCCTGGCTCAGAGTCAGGATGCAGCTAAGTTGGCAGCTGGACTGCTGTTATCTGGAGCCTTGACTTGGTAGAGGATCTAGTGTGGCTAGAACAGCCTCAGTTCCTTGCTGCCTAGGTCTCTCCACAGGGCTGCCTCATGGCAGGGCAGCCAGCTTCCTTGAAAGCAAATGGCCCAGAGTGAGTGAGCCCAGGAAAGAAGTCGAAATCTGTTATAACCAAGTCTCAGAAGCAACATGCTAGCACTCCTGCCTTCTTCTGTTGGTCATACAGATGAACTGTGGTACTGAGGCAGAGACCATCTCGAAGGTTGGCTGCCTCAGAAGTCCTTGTCATATAGATTGCATTGAAAGCCATGGGGCTGTTAGAGATTATCCAGAGAGATGGTGTAGATAGAGAAGAGGCGTCCCATGACCAGGCTCTGGGTCATATCACATTTGGGAATTGATCAAAAGATGAGGAACCAGAAAAAAGGAGAGGAAAGGAGCATCCAGTGAAGTGCAGAGTCATAAGGAGGCTAGAGAAGGGTATATTCAGCTTTGTGGAATGCTGTAGAAAATTCTACTTAAATGAGGATAGAGACAATGACTGTTTGATCTACCAATGCTGATACTCTAGTGGACCTTGAGAGTAATTGTAGTACAATACTGGGATGGATACTGTAGTACAATTGGTGTGGGTTAAGAAGAGGAGGTGAAGAGGTAGGGGAGACAGCCTTGCTAAAATGTTTTACTCTTCAGGGGACAGAGAAATGGAGCAATGGCAAGAGACAGATGTGGAGTCAAGGGAGGAGTTTTTGTTTGTTTTTAAAATGGATGTTTTTAAGACATGTTAATTATCTTAAGGAATGGGGAAGGGGGTGCAGGAAGCCCAGCTGGTGAGAGGGATGAGGGCTGGAGCACAGACTGAGCACAGGAAGCAGAGGGACGCTGAGAGAAGCGGGTGTGGCTTTGGGTATTTGGCAAGGTTGACAAGAAAGAGAAGAAAATTCTCATCAGAACACTTCTGCATTCTTCATTACTTATGAGAGAAGACCAATCACTAGAGTGAGGAAAGACAAGAGATAGAGGTGATTTGAGAAGAGGGAGAAAGCGTGAAGTAGCTGTATAGAGGAGGGAAAGCAAACACTAGGGAAGTGAAGTAGTATTGCCTGCAGTGTGACATATCCATTTAAAATATTTATGGTTTTACTAGTCAGCAAGTTTGCATGCCTTCTTCTAGTGGCATTTAGCAGGTCAGCAACTAGGGTCTCCAAATATCAAAGCATGTACAGAACAGGGACTGGAACTCAAGACAACTTTTAGCTCATCTGGTCACCGCCACATGCTGATGACGGCTTATTCCTTTAAATAGTCTGACCCTCTGGAGCTGTCTTTCTAGAGCTGACTCAGGTTGTCTCCAGCCAGTAGAAAGAGATATAAACAGACCTTCAGACTCTTGAGCCTTGAACTGGCATGAGGGATATGTGATGCCAGTACAGGATTGCCCTTGTCTTCCTTCTGCTACCGCCAACTGTCTCCAGCCCTTGTTCTGCTCCAACTGTCTCCTCTCAGTGCTTGCTGTTCTGGCTCAGCACCTCTTAGTGCATAAGCAGCCCAGGAGTGCTTGTCTCTGAAGGATTGCATCTGTCTATACTGCCCTTCTTTACTATCCCCTTCACTCCTTAACTTAGGGCTTAGGGAAGTATGGAAGGGAAAAAATCAATTGATAAATAGTGAACAAAAGAAACATATACTTTAATAATAAATGTTTAAAAACAATAATTTGTTACTTCATTGTTAGCCTTTTTTGCAGATAAGTTACTTTTGTACTTAAAATAGATGTAAATATTAAATGTGGTTAAATGATTAAATTAAGGAAGACATTTTTTGTTTTTGCTATCTGGTTTGTTTCTAAGCAAAACTGCATCATTTAATGACAGTTTTGTATAAGAGTTAACAGAAACATTGGTATTTGATACAGCTATACAGTTTTGTGAATACAGGAAAGACACTACTACATTTTTGTTTATGTTTATTCATCTTTTATGATCTTATTTTATAGAATGTATTTGATTCTGATCTCGGTATACTTAAGTTGGCTTCCTTCTGTGAATTTTTACAAGTTAATTATACCTTAGGTTTGTATACAAAACAATCTTATTGATTGAACAGTAAAATGTATTTCAGATTTTTATTGATGGCTTTTCTCCCTCAGTAAATCTCCTTGTTACTTCATTTACTGAGAAACATTGAGTCAGTAGACACGACTGCTGGCTCTTGCTGCTTCTGAGCTGTGCAACCTTGAGCAGCTCACTGGCATTTCTGAACCCCACATCTTTATTGACCAAATACAGAAAACAGTGTTTGTTCTGTTCTCCTTCCTGGGGATATGACATTCCTTGTCTATGCTGTCAAATGAAAGCTTTAAACCTGGTTCTCTCTTGTTTCCAAAATTCTGCACTTCTGCATAGGCCTTTATTTAGATGTTTTCTTTAGGAACTATTAGAAAAAAATCTGTTATGCTTATTATATTCTTTTCTTAAAAAGTAAACTTGGTGTTTTAAAATGCTCTATTGAGATAATTATGCCCTCAATGAGCACGATAAATCTGCTAAGTTGAGAGCAGACATCAACATTAGCCTTCATTGCTCATTTGCAGTTCACAGGTTAATGGCCAAGTCATTTTGATAGATATCTGCTTTACCACTTAGTGTTTTTAAAAGCTAAGCAGGGAAACCAAGAAGGCATTGTGATAAGTTGTTGTTTTTGAAGGCTGCAGTTCTCTGTGCTGGTCAAGTTGTGGACAATACCCTGCTCAAGCTGTACACAGAGGTGCTCCCAGCAGCTCTCTGATGCTGTGCATCCTCAAGTTGGCTTCTCAGATGCCCCTGGAGAACACCACAGTGCAGCAGATGGTTTTTATGTTTCTCTCCAACCTGGCCTTGTCTCATGACTGCAAAGGAGTAATTCAGAAGGTAAGGACTTAAACTCCCCTTCATGTCATAAAGGGATGCTCAACAAAATCACCCTTCCAATCAAACGTTTACAACTTAATTTCTGGGATTAATTTCTTTATGATTTTAAGACATTCTATTTTAAAGGACTGTAAAGGATTAAGAGGTTCACTTTGTTTAAAGCCATTTGATAGATGATACATGAAAAGGTACAGAAGCTTGAATATGGTCATGCCATTTCCCTTTCGTTTATCTTCTTAGCTTTTGGATTGTGTTTTATCTCTCTCAAAAATGAGAGTTTTATAGCTGTCTTACATTTATTGGAGATAATAAAAGTAATATATTTGGTCTTTAAGCAGACCAAACCGAGCAGTAACAATTTTAGTTCAATTTACATTGACAAACTGATTTATGAAATCACAGCCCCTTTCCCCCCGTTAGACTTTAACTTCTTTATGATATAATAGACAATTTTATGAGTTCTCTGGGACTCACTCCAGTTCCCAAACTTGAGTTTTTGTCACTGATTTTGACTTAGGGTACTTTAAAAGGGATGTAATGAGTTAAATAATTCTAGTACACATGTGCAATTAGATTCTATATTCAGATGTGTATAAAGAGAATCCCTAATTGGGAAAATCCCTTCAAATTTGAATGTGACAGATTATCTATTACTTACTAGTATAGTAATTTGAATACCTCTGATTTTTTTTCTTTTTTTTTTTTTACTTGAAGGCCAAGATAAATTGCAAAAGTTGAGAGCATTTCTAAGAATTGAGTCCTTTTCCTCTACTGTTTCATCTCCCTGAGCCCCTCATAGATTTCTTAGAGTGGTATCACCTAATAAATAGATCAGTCTTTCTAAGGAAGTAGAAAAATTAGATCAGTCTTACTAAGGAAAGTTGTTTTCAGTGGTGTGCTGGAGCCAGCTGCTCTGGTTCATGAGTTTTCTGGAATGTTATAAAAATTCCAGCTGAGGTCATGTTGTTAAATTAGCCATGGTAGGAGTATTCACCCCATGTAGTTTTGCAAAAGCTGCAAATCATGTATCTTTTCTACTTTCACTGCAACCAGTTGTATATTTACCAGTAATTAGTTGGATGTTTTATTTTTCCTATACATATATATGTGTGTGTGTGTATATATAGATATATATTTTTTGAATGTTTGTCTCATATATGTACACACATATATATGAATGTATTTTCTTCATATGTGTATTCATATACATACATCTCTTCTAAAATGATTAGTTTTCTTGAATTGGATTTTTCAAAATGAGGCTGCACGTGTGTGAGCAGAGTGGGGGCAGTGCTTTCTACCACTTTCTTATAGAGCATATTGATAGGAAGCAAAGTAGGAACCCCCAGATGGGATATAGTTGCTAATCTCGAGTCTGACATGTGGCTTTGAGCTAGAGACCTATTCTCTGTAAGCCTCAGTTTTTTTCATTTTTAGAATAATTCGGTTAATCAAAATGATCTCTTAGGTGTCTTCAGTTCTGTCTATGATTCTGATGCTATGCTCCAGAATATTTTTTTCACAGGTGTGTTCTCAGTGAGTGAACAACAACAACAAAAAAGAATATTTTGATGCAAGTGTGATCAGACTCTGTTTTCAGGGGCAGATTAATCAAGTTGTTTTCCTCTGCACTAATGAGGAGATGCCTGAGACTTCCTCTGCTGCATTAAGTAATAATGAGCCTGGACACTTAACTTGTACCTCTCTGTTACTCATCTGTGGGCATGAGAAAATGCAGCAGGTGTTAATGTACAACTCAGGGTCAGAAATGTCCCCTTTTTTTCCTGCCATGGTACATTTCTGCACATTCTATCTAGTGAAGGAAATTGTCTAAAAAATTGTGCCCACAGTACAATTACATTTTAAAGCACCAACATACATTTTATCACTGTTGTCAGTCCCATATCTAGCAAGGGTTGAATCTAAAAAACTGTCAATTTGGGTTGACAGATGAGAAGTCCTTGTGAGTGACAGCAGATGCAGCTCAAAGTGGGCATGTACCTTTCCAGTTTCTTTGTCAGTTGGATGATGCTGCTAAGATTTCTGTAGCTCATTTTATTTTGATTCTGAATCCTCAGAGTAAAATATTAAATTTTGAAGATTAGAGCCAACATCTTGATTTAGGTTCAGGAGAACTCAAGAGATAAGCAAGAGTAGATTATTAAGCAGAGCAAGCAATGAGTTCTTCTGTACAGTCATAAAAGTTACGTGATTACATTTCCTTTCTCAAATGCACAGCTGACTGTGGTTTTCATGCTGTCATGGGCGTCTACTCGATACAGCACTTTTTTTTAAATATAGCACTTTTATACTTTGTTTTCATATCGATTATTCTAGATAACTATCATCTTTATATAGTTAAGGATTTGGTGGGGTTTTGCAAAAGGGGCTAGGTTGGAGGTTGAAAAGACTCTTACAGTTCATGTAATAGAGCTTTCTCATCTGTAAGTTTAGTAGAATGACACAGTCATGAGAAACTATTATTTGTAGTGATAAGCACTTGGGGTAAAGTGAATGTGAGATATATCCATAGATTTAATAAACAACAACAATAACACTTGTAGCTATAATGATACAATATACCTTCACTCAGAGTGGTAACTAGTATTCAAGACTGATTTGGGTTTTATGTCTTTTTCCTCCCTGTAGAGTAGCTTTTAATGAGTAGCAAAATTGCCAGAAAGCAGACAAAAAGAGAAAACTTGAGAGGCGTGACATAATCTCCTAACTGAATTATCAATCCTAAATAATTAAGATTTAACTGTAATATGCTTCATCCACCATGAGGAAGAATTAGCAGGAATTAAAAGTTTGAGCACTATTTTGTTCTTACCTTTTTCCCTTATACCTGGAAATAATATCGGTAGAGTGTTTAGAAGGTATTGGAAGGAACATAAATGAAAGTTTGGGGAAAAGTATTCCAGAATGCTAGTTAACTGGTCACCAAGGGACTAGGAAAATAATGAAAAAAGCACAAGAAGAAAATAATACTCTTTCTAATTACCCACAGAGCAACTTCTTACAAAACTTCCTGTCTCTAACATTGCCAAAAGGAGGAAATAAACATCTCAGTAATCTAACCATCCTGTGGTTGAAGTTGCTCCTGAACATATCATTTCAAGAAGATGGGCAACAAATGATTCTGCGGCTTGATGGCTGTTTAGACCTACTAACTGAGATGAGCAGATACAAGCATCGGAGTAACCCTGTGTTACCTCTTCTTATTTTTCATAATATTTGCTTCAGTCCTGCTAATAAACCCAAAATCCTGGCTAATGGTAAGTATCCCCTTCACACACACACACTTACACATGTGGTTATTCATAGTCTCTTCTATCCAGATTAAAACACAATCATCATGTATTTACTAAGTACCCACTATGTTCAAGACACTGTGGGAGGCAGCGACAATAGAAATGAATCATACGTGGCTTCAGCCTTCCATGAACTGCTGAATCTCCTAAGGTTAATAAATCATATCATTCCGATGGACGTGCTGGATACAGGAGTAGCAGGAGAAGAGGAACAGTGGTCATGGGCACTCTTTGATCTTGCCTTCTGCTTTCCTCATTCTCTTGTTACTCTTGTTCTAACCACCCCCTGCCCCTCCTCTGTGTCTTTGATCAAATGCTACGATATCAATGAAGCCTCACTAGACCAACATATTAAAATTGTAACCCCCAACCCTTTGCCTCTTCTTTGTTCCCTCTTACTCTCTTATTTCCTTTCCCGTTTTATTTCTCTGCATAGCATTATCATCATCTGCTAGACTATGTGTTCATGTGTATATTCTGTCTATTCCTAGTCTTCTTGCTCCAGAGCGTAAGCTCTCATGGGGTCAAGAGGTTTTTGTTTGTTTATATTTATCTGCAACACTTAGAATTGTGCATTCAACTAGTGAGCACTCAGTAAATAATTGATGACTGAGAGAGATTCTGAGCAGACAGGAGAGTTCAGCACCCAAGATCAAAGGGTAAAATTAGCTTTACAGATACTTCATTCTCTGAGATGTAGGACAGATGGAGGTGAGGGTTGGTGAGGATTCAGAAACATTTTGAAGTAAAAAGAGAGAATTGGAAAGATCTTTTTCTGCAATCATGTGCTAGCTCTGTGAGGAGTGTGTGAATTTCATGGGAGAGAGTTTTATAAGGAGACATTGTATTATAGTGAAAAAAAATGTGGGCTCTGGACCCCCACACCTGATCTTGAATGCCACCCCCACATGTGCTCACCCCAGCATCACCTGGGGCTGTGCCTCTGGGCTCAGTTTCTTCATCTGTAAAACAGTCTCACATTTCTTGGTTTTGGTAAGAATTGATATATAAGCACACATAAAGTGCCTATCACTATTTCAGACACATGGTAAATGTTTAAGGTACATGAATTCTCTTTTTTCCTTCATGTGTTTCACTTATCTTTTCTCAAAGACGTCTTTCTGTAAAATGCAGAGTTTTCTAAATGTATAAATGTGATTCTCCTTCCATTTTATTGTGTGCACAGTTGTGATTCTGTTGTTCTGATAATTATTAAATTCCTAGAAAATTGTAAAAGTTTAGCCAGCTTTCAACTTACCTAAATTTGCCATGGATCTTTGCTCACTTTCCCATAGCTCCTCCACTGACACTGCTCTCTGCTGCTGGGGGATGAACATCACTGGGTTGATTCCCATCCTCTCCCACTGTGTCTGCTTCATTCCTCACATTTGTAAAGCAGGGATAATAATAAGCTGTCCTCCGAGCAGTGAGATAGCACACAAATTCTCTGTTACCATTCTTGGTGAATAGTAGCTATTCAGTAGTATCTGGTATTATTTATTCACCTTTCTCAGAATAAATTTTTTCTATGGGGACTACTTACTCCAGTTTTATTACTACGAGTTGAAAAAAGGACACGTTTTTAGGGAACTAAAGGAGAAGTCTGCATTTTCCACTTCTGGGTTCCTCTAGATTTATTTTTAGCATTTCCTAGTAGTCAGCAATGCTTTTTCTCCTTCATTAACTTAAAGCAGATGGGCAGACTTTGGGTGCGAAGGAGCTTCCCCAATCCCCCACCCCCTGCCCACATACTTGAGATCCAGTGGGCTTTCAAGACGGGGTAAGGAGACAGAGCTGTGCGGTTTCATTTGTACCTATTCAGGGTGTCTTGGGCTGTTCAGGGTGTCAAAGGCTATGCCTCCTTTCCAGTTGGGGATCCAGAGAAGAGGCCTTAGCAGAATCAGACAGCTGAAAACCCCTAGGTAGGGCTGCATGCCTCTGATCAGTTGCATCCAAACATCTGGATTAGATAATCAGGAGTAGAGTATGCAGTGAGGCTTGACCTTGCTGTTAAAAACAGATCCAGAGCATTCCTTGTTTGTTGTCATGTTAGTCTAAGTCTCCTCTGAAAACAGCAAAAACATGCTGTATAAACTGTGTTAAAATTCACCTCAAAATAAAGCACTGAAAAGATTGTGGGAAACTTCTAGGCCATTTTTGACTGAAAGCCTGTTCCCAGGCAGGTAAGAAGTACATAGAAAGTTCTTTTGCCCTAAAGACATTTACCAAGATCACGTGCTTGGATTTTGTTCAGGAGTGTCAGGGATGAGAAAATAGAAGTCAAGACTCCCCAAGATGGGGAATTCTTATCAGGCATCATACCTGTATTAAGCTGGACCTCCAAAGAGCCATCCCCTTAAGAGAAGGATGAATCAGAAATAAATTGGTCCCCAAAACCTAATTCAGGCAACTATAAAGAAAAGGAAAAAATACATATAGGAGAATGGGTACTACAGATTTCTGCCCACTGGCTCTGCCTCCAGGAGGTATGTGGTCTAAATGGGCCATGAACTTGGTTTCAGGTATCCTCCATTGACAGTACCCCTGGGTGCTTAGCAGAAGCAAACTGCCTCTGTGATGGATAAAAGACAAGTTCATACCAGGCCTCAGGGAACCTTCACAAGTAATTTTTAAAAGCAGTAACCAGTACAGAGTTAAAGATAACCTAGCACATTAGGAAACATGGCAACATGAAGTGAAAACTAGCAGAGGAAAAACAAAATACCAGCCTCTCTGCCCAGACTTTAAATATTGGAATTATAAAACACAGATTTAAAAATAACTTTAATTATGCCATATTTAGAAAAGTGACAAGCTTGGAAGATTTGATATTTTCAGGGAGCAGGAAACTGATAAGTTGAAAGATTTGAAAAAAAACAAACAGAACTTCACTGTGCAATATGACAATCAGTTGGCTACATGTAGCTATTTAAACTTAAACTAATTAACATTAAATGTTCAGTTTGTATGTCACACTAGCTACATGCATCTAGTGGCTATCTTATTAGCACAGATATAAATATTTCTATTATTTTAGGAAATTCTGTTGGATAACACTATTCTAGAGCTTCAGTAGCCAAAATGAAAAATGTAATATGCGTGTCTAGGAGCAAGTTAGTATAGCTGAAGAGAAAGCTTAGGAATTAGAAGATAGATTAGAAAAATATCCCCCATAATGCATCAGAGAGAGCTAAAAAAAATGAGAAAGGATTAAAAGAATACGAGGTAAGTGATGTAGCAGACACATTGAGACAATCTAACTTTGTTGAATGAAGTATCCTAGAAGGAAAATGGGAGAGGAAATACTTGAAGAGATGATGGCTAAAAACTTTAATAAAATTTCTAAGACACTGGTACATTAATTCAAGAGACTCAGATAATTCCAAGTAGATAAATAAAAATAAATGTATCATTATATATATCATAGTGAATCTGCAAAGGAAAAAAAAAAAGGTGAAATAGATACTTGCCCTGACAAAAGTAAGTTAGAAAAATTTATTAAAGAAGAAATAGAATACCAAGAAATCTCCAGTAACTATGAAAGATATTGAATTCGTCAAAAACTTAACCATGTGGAAAACTCTAGGTCCAGACAGCTTTACCAATGAGTGCTACCCAACATTTAAACAAAAACAATAGTCCCAAACACAGATGCTTCCACAGAGTAGGGAAAAAGGAAATTGTTGTTTATTTTGTGAAGCCAGCATAATCATGTTAACAAGACCTGAGGACAAAGAGTATTCTGGTGAACGTTTACTAGCTCTTGGGTGAAGGGTGAAGGGTGGGATATATATTGAATATATAGAAATTTTATTGTGTATGTATTATGTATACAAACATAAATTTTGCTAGTATAAACACATAAATTACAAATAATAGTGCAGTAATGGTCTTTTTTGTAAATTATGAATAGCCAGTTGATTCTCACAGAATACTTTAATTGATGTTTGCTATACTTTTATATCCGTCTGTAGCCAATTATGGTGGCCATTCATTCATATGACAGATGACATTGTGTCCTAAACTGCTTTCTTCCCAATAAATGTATTGTCATCAAATCTGTTAGTAATATACTGTTAAGACTTTTTCTCACCCCTCTGCAGAATAGTCATAAAACTGAAATCTATTTCAGTTTTATCACTAAATCAACCTTAATTTGTAGATTTTCATGATGTAAATATTATCACTAAAACTGTCGATTCATCATAACTACCAACATAACTTCCTTAAACTTATAATTAAATCAATTATATTAAGAAAACGAATCATGAGTAGTCAAAACTCATCACTTTCTCATTATTTAACTACATTTTATTACTTATTTTTTGAGCTTATTTGTATATTTATATGAGTCCATGCCTATCTGTTAAACTCAAAAATGTTTCATGTGTTTTTTTGTGTGCATGTTGTATTCCACAAGAAAATGTGATTTAAAAAATTGATTTATCAGAGGGGGCCACTATATTAATTTTCCTATATATTTGATATTTATTATAAATTTTAAGAACAGTAACTATTTTAAGAATGTATAATATAAACTTACTGAGATAATAGAGGTTATCCATTCTGAGTGTTTGGGACAGATATAAAAGCGTCCCTTGATGCTACTCAGTTGAACCCATGGAAATCACCCTTCCACTTGATGGTGCATCCTAATGAGAACCACTTGTCACCTGTAACCTCGCATGATAAATTACATCCGATAGCCATTTGCATGGCCTAGTTATGCATGATTATGACACAGGAAAACCAAAGGACATTAGACAGTGGGGTTGAGGTACCTCACAGGCAGTAGGTTGCCTGTGGAAGGAAAATTGCTGCCCACCTTTCCACATTGTCATTCTACTGCACAACTCGAGTTCAATAAGTGGAGCAGCTTTTATGATTAGTTTTTAGCGAAATGTTTAAAATCTCTTAAAATTAAAAAATATATAAATTAGTTACTTAATATTTTTATTTGTTTTAACTATGAAATGTTTTACCTACTAGTATTTATTGAACTCCTAAAATATGCCTGCACTGTGGTTGGACTGTTACCAGTGAGCAGGCACAGACTTGTGCTTGAAAGGGTAACAGAATGGGCCGGGCTCGGTGGCTCAGCCTGTAATCCCAGCGCTTTGGGAGGCCGAGGTGAGTGGATTGCCTGGCCCGCAGGGTTGAGACCTGCCTGGGCAACTTGGAGAGACCTCATCTCTACAATAAATCAAAAATCAGTCGGGCGTGGTAGCGCATGCCTGTAATTCCAGCTACTTGGAAGGCTGAGGTGGAAGGATCGCCGGAACCCAGCAGGTCGAGGCTGCAGTGTCTGGGAGCGGCCACTGCACTCAAGTCTGGGCAACAGAGCGAGACTCCAACTCAAAAAAAAAAAAAAAAAAAAAAAGGGTAACAGAATGAATGCCTTCCACTGCACTGGAGGTAGCGAATGTATAGCGAGTTCCTATAACAAGCGGTTCATCCTTAAGAATGCAACATGTTTTTAAATCACACAATTTGGAGGAAAATAATTTGATAAAATTTAATGACCTGTAAAAATGAGTGATAAAATAGGTTCAAATATTGTTCCAAATACCTTGATAGTTTTCTTGGAACTGGACTTCTCTGAATCTTTCCTGAAAACAAGTAGAGTGGTGCAAATAATTAGTAAGACTCTATTTCAGACTCAAACTAATTTAGTAGTATGGTATTGTACAAAGGACTTATCTCATGTGTTGACATGATTTTAAATCACTTTTTCCTCTGACATAAGCACACACATTTCATTAAAATATTTAATCTTTTTAAAAAAGCATTAACTAGTATATTTCTTGGTTATGGTTTTATATAGTAACCCATGCTTTTGATATATTTGTGTATATTTGATATATTTGTGTAATCTCTATAATATTTAACATGAAAGCAGATCTATTTTCCTGCTTACTAAAATGTTAGCTGTAATTGAAGAACTCATTAATATAACTAACTCATCATATACTTATTTTTGCACTCTTGTTGTCTTTAAATGAATATGCCTTTGTTGAATTTAGGCCAAAATGTTAGACAGCTTCTGCGTCTCTGATGGTTCCTTGCCTGTCATGAAAAGTGTTTTGAGGTTGTCCTCCCACGTACCACATGGTATAAAAGATTGGTTTTTCCATAGTCTAGTGACACCAACTTTGTATCTGTGTTTTAATGGGAAAAAAGAGAGTGTCTGACTATTCCAAGGGAAGAATACAATGTAATGTCTAGAACTGATTTTTTTAAATGTGTTTATTTTTAGAAAAAGTTATTACTGTGCTAGCTGCCTGTCTGGAAAGCGAGAATCCAAATGCTCAGAGGATTGGAGCAGCTGCACTTTGGGCTTTGATTTACAATTATCAGAAGGTCAGTTTTTAAAATCATTGTTATACCTGGGGGCAAACAACCAGGCCCCTTAGGATATATCCAAGGGTGTCAGAAGAGTAACAGCAAAAGAAAAAAAAAAACTGAATCAAAGACTCATGTTCACTTTTCATTCATGTAGCTAGTAAGCCATCAGTTGAGATATTTTTCATTTAATCATTTTAACAGAATGTCTCAATTCAAAAGAGTATCTCTGTTTTAAATGCTTTTTCTGCTATTTTAAATTGATTCACCATTTTATTGCAATGTTAGTATAGATTGTTTCTTCTAAAAGATGTGTAAAGGAAAAATGCATCTTGAAGTAGAAAACTAAATAACAAAATTTTATCCAATTATATGATTCCCCTTTCTCTGGGATATATCCTCACTGAGTTTTGAGATCAGCTCAGTTCTTGTAAGACTACAGCACAGAGCCTGCCCAGAGACAATAGGCAGAGTGGGAGTTATGTCTACTCTTGCTGGCCTTTCATCTTCTCTTTTATTCCAGCCATCTCACTCCTGAGAGAAATACCTGTATGTATCTAGTGGATTAAACAGTAACCAAATGGCAGTGTTAGGCTAGACAACCATCTGGAATGGTGCTTTCTCAGCTGGTTGTCCCTGTCTGTGCTAGCTGTTCTTCCACAGACCAGAGTCACATACACAAAGACTGGCTGCTGCTGTCATTCTTACTTGGATATCCCCAGAGCTTATCACAGGATTTGGCACTTTGTAATCACTCGGTAAATACTTGTTGACCAACTGGCCAGTTGCTACTGTTTGATATGCTTGATCTGAAATCTGAGTTTTCAGGGAATCTGAAATATTGAAACCAAGGGTGACTGGTTTTAAATAGTAAATTGAGATTAGAGGAGAAGAAGTAAAAAAGAAAGAAAAAAAGAACGTGGGACAGTAGAGACATAATCAAGTTAGATGGGAGAAGGACATGGTAAGACTTAAGAACATGCAGGGGACTTGACACAATAGAAGGTACTACTATATCATTCTCCCATTACACTGTTGTATTTTATAATATGCTGTTTAATACTGTAGTTAGCAGTGGGCAGAATTAGTATCATGATATTCTGATCTTTAACCCTTGTCAATAAATTTGCTTAATGGATTGTTCTATATTATCTCCAGGCAAAAACAACTTTGAGAAATCCATCAATAAAAAGAAGAGTGGATGAAGCATATTCCTTAGCAAAGAAAAGTAAGTTTTAGTACTAAAGAGATTACAGTTAAACTTGGAAGCTATCGAGTGAATTATCTGAATAATGAGATAATTTGGACTGGCCACAGCAAAATGACAGATTTTTCCACAGTTTTAGTAGGATTTGAGGAACTATTTTGTCAAAACATTGTAAACTGTGCCAATAACTGGTCAGAACTTTCCATTATATCATTTTTTTAATGGTCTGATAGATGAAGGTTTGAAATGTAATAGTTTCTTAAAACATGTCTGTGATCTTTCTCCAAGTCATTTTATTCTTGTACTAAACTACTTTTGCCGGTAGCAACCACTGTGCTGAAGTATGTTCTTAGTGATAAGACTGGGTGCAATTAGAATTAACCTTGAACAAAAAACTCAGATCTAACATCAAGGACTCTTCCAAATCCCTGTATCCGTGTTCTCTTGTGATCTGGTCATGATACCAGAGAGAGCTTTCTTTTCAAAGCACATTACTCATTTTACGTGACACCAGTTTTCAGTGAGCGGTATTCTCTGAACATTTTTTGCACGAATACATTGAACTGTGTCTTTCCTGTCCTGTAATGGATCTGTTGGTTATTAATTTGTGTTTTTTATAGTCTGATTTTTTTTTTTTAAATTGGAGTCTTACTCTTTTGCCCAGTCTAGAACGCAATGGCACGCTCATGGCCACCGCAGCCTCAGCCTGCAGGGCTCTGGCAATCCTTCTGCCTCAGCTTCCAAGTAGCTAGAACCACAGGCATGCACCACCATGCCTGGCTGTTTTTTTATTTATTGTAGAGATGAGGTCTTACCAAGTTTTCCAGGCTGATCTCAAACCCGCAGACACAGGCAATTCTCTCTGTAATCCAAGCCTCCTAAAGTGCTGGGATTATAGGCGTGAGTCACTGTGCCTGGCCCTTGATTTTTTTTTTTAAGCGGAGGAGGTTATGGTTTGTTTTAGCTATGGCCAAGAATTTCTGAAGTTAGTGAATAATTGAGTTACATTAAAGTTTATGCTTTAGGAAGGATGGTACATAAAAATGAAAAAGAGTAATGGTTTTCATTTGTGATTATAGTTAATGGTATCCATTATGGAGGTATATTTTTTTCTAATACTCGTTGAGTAAACCATTAATTTTAAAAAAGTATAAATTTTGTAACTTCTTAATTTTCTTAAAATATAAAATATTCTAGAATGCTATTACATCAAGAACTTAAATAGAGCTTTAAGTTATATGTAAATCCTATTGATATATATTTGAGTATGTGTGATCATGTTCAAGTATAGTACTAAGTTTAATAAACTGGTATTTCTATACTCTTATTTTTCTATCTCAGCTTTCACAAATTCAGAAGAAAACCCTCTAAATGCCTACTATCTGAAATGTCTTGAAAACCTTGTGCAGCTCCTTAACTCTTCCTGAGTGCCATGAGGTGCTGCGCCCTGAAGCTAATGGCCATCAACGGGGGAGCTACACTTGAAGCCAGCTTTGTGTAACAACTGTTTCCTGAAGACATGCTGACTTTCTGCAAGGCATTGGTCCCCTTCTTCTCTATGAGATGTAGAACTGTTGATGCTCCAATCCTGTCTGTTCATAGCAGCTCTCTGGAAGTAATAGCAGCTGACAAGAGGCAATGGAAAAAGACATGGAAAGTTCTGGGAACAGAAAATATTTTTACCCTTTTTTATACAATTTGCTTTGTAAAAAATCCTATTTAACAGTTATTTAATAAAACACAGTATTTTTAGAAACTAAAAATTGACTAATAATTGCTGCTTGCAGATTCTTATCGGTCTCATAAATATTAATTTTAGGAGTTGAAAGAAGGCATTGTGTTCTGGGGTTTTTTTTTTAATTTTTGACATAAAATTTGGCTTCTGTCAATACAAATTCTTATTTTTCAAACGTTTGTATTGTCCAGAGTATACATACTAGTGAAGGGATATATGTAAATGTGTATGATTTTGTGTGTAGCTTTCTTATGCAGATTTTAATGATGTCAACTCCTTTCTAAATGATTTATAAATTAGTTACATTTATAATTTTCACCTTTTGGCTTTTGAAAGGCTGTGAAAAAAGATACAAGTGGAGTTGTCATCATATAGATCCAGGTTCAAATTCTAGCTTAGCCTAAAATATCATGAAGAATAAGACTGTAAAAAGTGTTGGAGGAACAAGCCCTGTACTTTATTACATAACTCTTAACTAACCTATAGTTTGGAACTCAGTACTTAAACCAAAATACGAAAGTACCAAAGTACTAATCACTTTCAGCAGTTTTTCTAGCACTTGTGAAATAAGACAAAAAATTGTGTCTAGGGAAAATAAAAGGTGAAATATATATGTGTGTGTATACATATATACATCCATACATATGAATACACACATGCATACAGATAGACACACTCATTTCGGAAAATGTTTTAAGAAAAAGTTTTCTAACATAGTTAACAAGATAAGAAAACAATTGATACTTTTTTTTAAATTTATTTTTATTTTAAAGATGTGGGGTATAATTCAGGATTAAGCATACAAGTGGTCATTGTACAGGGAAAGTTTGGGCCTCCCTTTGGTCCCGATTTCACCTGGTTTGAGATTTTTTTTTTATTAAGCAATGTTAGCTGATTGCTAGCAGCAATAAAAGAAAATAAGCCACTGGAAGCATGAGGACAAAGTATATGTTGAATACTAAAATAGAAGCAGATAAGTTTGTAGTGCCTGGGAATTTTTAATCAGAGATCTGAACAATAAATGTGGAAGCTTAGTTTTTGAGGAGCCCAAATTAATTTGAAGCAATGGATATGCCAATATTCTGGAAAACTCACCAATTGTAAGAGCAGGAATCTTAGAAATTATTTTTCTTTTTTCTCCTGGTTTTTTCTTGTTTTTTTGGTATTCTTTTGTAAGCCCTCATTGATGAATAAATGAGATGAATTTACTTATAACGCTCATTTAAAAAGCTCTTTCTATGTCCCAGCCACTATTCTCAAAACTTTTCTTATTTAACCTATCTTCCTCTAAAATACTGCTAATATTTTAGAGGTGAGTAAGTGGAGGCTCAGAGTGTTAAGCCATGTGTTTATTGTGGACAGCAAAGAGTAAAGTTGAGCCTGGAGGCCAGGATAATTGCTAGTAAGCTTGACTTTTTTTTTTTTACCATGCCATGCTGCATCTTTTATTCCCCTCTGTTTCCATCATTGAAATACTTGTCTTCTCTTTGGATCTTATAGATAACTACCATTTTTCTATAAAACTTTAGACTCTTTAGGGAAATGATCTTTTTTTGTAATGGTTCACTGATTGGTTTATGCGTGTAATAGAGTATGTGGTGCTTCAACTTCTTGAAATCTCCCCACTGGTTGACTGACACAGTCTGAAGAGCCCAGATGGGAAGGACTGTCATCCAGGATTTGGATCCTGCATGCCCCTGCAGCTGACATTTCTGGACACCAGGAGACGCAAGTGCAAGTTTTCCTGAAGCCATTACCCCTCTCCTTTCTCCATGGACTGCAGCCTTCCTGATGCTTCATCTTGTTGAAATGCAGATGTGTGGGCCCACTGAAGAAGGCCTGTGTCCAGCAGAACTTTTAGCAGCTCCCCAGGTTCTGCCCACCACTATTTGAGAAACACTGATTAATCCCCCAGTGTTACAGAAAACTGCCTGGAACGTGAAAATGACTTAATATCACTTAATTACTCAGTGATTAAATCAAGACTCAAATTCGAGTCTCTTGAGTTCTGGCCAAGTATTTGTCTTTCACACATGCCCCCAGTTTATGATAAGATCCAGAAAATAGGTGTAGGGGGGCTGGTTCGTACCTCATGGTCTCCAACTTTTTCATTTTTTAGCATTTTTGGTGTCTGTGCTGTGGAAGCACCAGTACAGACACGGGTACCTAGGCTTCTGAATGTGAGCCTTGAACAGTTTAGGGGAGTGGGCTGCCATTAGTTTTGAAAACAGGAAACTAGTAGGAGAATAAAGTTAGCATACCTAATGGGGGGGTCTTTTCTCACTCTAAAAACACTTTAAGAAATGAATAGCTTTTTTTGGTGTTCTGTTAAGAATGGAGCAAAAAATAGAATTTTGCCTACTTAACTCCAGGTCGCCAGTTTTCTTTGTAGTTTTAAGTCTGAAATATACTCATTATCTGGAGTAATTCCATCATCAATTTGGGGAGCTGCACCTTATCTCGTCTCCATTTCCTGATTTTGCTAGGGTCCCAAGTTTTCTGCTTGACCCATGAGGTACTTCAGCTTTGGCAAAATGGTGACTAAGAGTGATGATTAGCATCCCTGCTTTTGCTGCAGTTATCTCAGTGAACAAGATAGCATAACGATGACTAACAGTAGAGGACTTGGCCTGGCTCGGTGGCTCAGCCTGTCATCCCAGCAAGCCGAGGTGAGTGGGTTTCCCGAGCCCGCGGGTTCAAGGCCAGCTTGGGCAACTTGGCGAGCTCTCGTCTCTACAATAAATCAAAAATAAGCTGGGCACGGTAGCGCACACCTGTAGTTCTGTCAATTTGGAAGACCAAGGTGGAAGGATCGCCGGAGCCCTGCAAGACTTTGGAGTGGTGGTGAGTGTGCCACTGCCCTCCAGCCTGGGCAACAGAGTGAGACTCCTGCTTAAAACAAAACAAAACAAAAAACAGAGGATTCTGTAGTCCTGTGGGCCTGGAACCAACCTCGGCTTCAGCACTGCCATTGGGGTGGACCCTGGAACAGTCTCGAGGCTTTGTTTCTTCTGCTGTAATTGAGGATAAGGACGCCTGCCTACCTTGAACAGTCGGTGAGTTGACTGAGCACTTAGTACAGCACCCGATAGGTACATCGTTGTCCCTCAGGTCTTATCAATGATTAGTTTTCTTATAAAATTTTCAAAAACACTCCTTAATTAAAACATTAAATCTTTTGTGTCCTTGTAAACTTTCTCTCCCTTTGGGGAGGGGATGTGCTGAGAAGTGAGTTGGCCTGTGAAAACTACAGTTCCAACATCCTGAAAGGATTGTAGGCTCCGATAGAGGTGCACACCCAGTCCTGAGATAATTGATCGTGCAAACACTTGGCACGTCGTCATTGAGAAGCCAAGTCTTGCAAAGCGTTGCATACAGGCAATAAGTACGCCTGGGTGTCGCGTACATTTTGTTATTCCACTTGTCAGGTTGTATTGATTGAATGTCAGTTGGTAAAATATTGCTCTTCCTTTGTTTGACTTGCAAAAATGGAAAACTCAGAAAATTGTAACCTTGTAGCCAAAAGAAAACCTTAGCTTAAAAAAAAAATCCTTAAGTTTGGGAGAAGCTATTTTCTTCTTTCTTCCTATTGGTCTATTGTTATCCAAAGAATAAGGGGAATGGATGATAAAATGCTATGTTTGGTGAAATAGGATACTTAGAGTTTGAGGGAACTTAGAGTTTCTTCTTCCTAACTTAAAAGCTATTGCTGTTAGGAAATTCCTTACTCAACTCAAGTAATAAGTTGTTTAGGATGAGAGAGACTGTTATGGCCTTGAGGCTCAGGATGTACGAAGCCTATGCTAAGACCCTGGGATTCTGAGATTTGGCAGCGACATACAAGAGGAGCTCAGTGTGATCCTACTTTAAATGTTCCCAACAATGTTCATCTTTGCATTTTGTTTGCTCCTTCTGTGTTTGAGAAATCTGCTTCAGAAAAAAAAAAATCTCTTTTAAGCCAATGTTTTACAAAAGATCCATATAGTAACATTCAATACATTATCTTTAAATAATTCTGCATGAAAGTCAAGAGAAAAATACTTGTTTTAAGACAGACCCCAAGGAAAAATTCTTACCCACATCTCTCCTTTTTCAATAGCATCTTACTATGGTTTTTCCTCTGCTGATGACTGTGCCTTTGGAGTGACTGCACTCCATTTGGGTTCATCTGGACAACAGTACTCAGCAATCTAGTAGCAGATTGCTTGCAGTTCTATGTGAATTCTGAAAACATTTCTTCAAATACATGATGATGACATTACTTCTTTGGCTTACCATGGAAAGGGAACTTACTATTGCTTATTGTTTTCTGGTCTAGTCATTACGACTGGATTGCTGAGAATCAGTTTGTAGGTATAATACCGGTTTAAACCACGTTTTAATAGAGTAGAAGGTCCAAATTAATATTGGCTTCAGTAAGAAAGGAGTTATTGTTTGTTTGTTTTCTGGTTTGTTTTTCACATCCAGGAAACCCCAGGTGGGAAGCCCATAGTTAATAGCATCCTCAAGGACTCGAGTGCCTGTCTTCCTGCTCTCTCTTCAATAAGTTACCTTGTGGACATCAGGAAGGCTAAAGGGTGGAAAAGGACTTCCTCAGCCTCTGTTGCCATTTAGGGAACCTTCCCCAAAGGACCCATCTAGCAACTTGAACTCATATCTTGGACTGAACAGCTCATCATCATTCATAGCAACAAGAGAGGCCAAGAATTGCAGTCCCTGACTGGGGCACACAGTCAGATCCAGTAGCACAGGCTTCTGCTAATAGGGAAGATTGGTGACTGCCAATCTCTGCCAATATTCTGCTTGATTTAAGAGAAAAACGTGATGCAATTAGGGGTAAAATTATTATCCTTCCAAATAAAAATAGGAAAGATTAGGTGCTTATTGAATGTATTTAATCTACATTTAGATTTTGTGATTAGGTATAGTTGCATTCAGAGCTAGAAATAGTGTCAGAGAAAGAAGATGATTTTCTGGCACTAAGTCAAATACCCTGTGTGGAGTTTTCCCTGTAAAGTGGAAGCATCA